AGAGAGAGAGAGAGAGAGAGAGAGAGACACACACAAAAGCGACCAGGTAGAACATAGACATAGAAGAAAGATTAATTCTAAAGATCTAAAGTTCCAAAAGCAGATTTCACCCTTACAATAATATAATTCGTCACTGACCGCATAATACAAACACCACGCTACGTTACAAACTTCAGACAAATCACATAGCAACATGAAACCCAAGGCTGAAGGCATTAAACATGAATCATCGTTAGCTCGCTCTACATTCTTTGAACAGCATGTAACCCATCCCCGCTATCTCCCCTCCCCACCCGCCCATCTGTCCGTCATATACTCTACCTTGTCCCTCAAGCATGCAATAACGGTGGCAGGCAAAACCCCGCAACACTTATCAACGCAACTCCCTCCTTTCCAGCTCTTATCTCCTCACCTATGTTTTCATCTTTCTGTTTTATAACCGTCTCTTCCTCGATTTCATCCGCCATGGCAACTGTTGCCGTCTCCATGGCAACGAGCAGCGATGACGCGGATCTGACCTTATCTTCTGTCGTCATTTCCTCCCAGAGAGCGGACTTGTTGCTGGACACTAGATTGGAGCCTGCTTGCACAACATTCTGAACGGGGAATTGGAAGAGGAGATTAAGTTTTAGTAAGAGTTTTACAGCACTTGCAACACATATAATTATGGTCATGAAAGTGGCGAAGATTAGAGGTGTAACAAGAGAGTAACGAACATAAAATAAGATGGAGGAGAGATATAGACGATATATTTTATGTTAGAACACCCACCAACCACCCGCTGGAATAGGAGACTGTCTCGATTGTGCAACAGACCCTGCGTTATTTGTTCGTTCTTAAGGCTTAGCTGCCAAACTGAGCACAACGAATTCGTTTAGTAATCGCAAAGGGTGGGTAGACCAGGTGGGGCGGGGGGCGGGGTGGTGGGTCTGGCCTTGCGGTAAAACTTAGTAAGGAAGATAAAGAAAGAAGGAAAGAAGGTGGCGGTATATTTACTTATACACCAAGGTGGATATCAAACGTGTGCATCTAAATCTGAGCGAAAGAGTTCGCGTGTGTAATTCTGCTGTCAAGAGGGCGGTAATTCCTGCCGGTGTGCAAGGGGTCAGGCGTGGGTCTGTGTACATATTATTATATGTGTATGCGTGTGTGTGTGTGTGTGTGTGTGTGTGTGTGTGTGTGTGTTTGTGCGTTTGTGAGTGTGTGTGTGTGCGTTTGTGAGTGAGTGTGTGTGTGCACATGTATTTTTTGTTTATGTGTTATGCGTT